AGTTCTTTAAAATAAATACAGGCTTACCGATAAATACGCTGAATAAAATGCATCATTAATATAAAATCGTTTAACTTACATAGATTCATCCATTGAAATAACATTTTGTTTTATTCCAAATTTAACTAGAACTTCTTAAGCTCTAGTTTAATCATTAAAAATGACATAATTTTAAATCTAATCAATTTGATACTATGAAAATCATACAGATAACATATTGCAAATTATTTCCGAATAATACAAAATTTATATGACCTTTTTTAATAAACAAATAATCATTGATAAGGACATAATTTTGTTCTATTTGCAATCTTGAAAAAAAAGAGTAAAGTATAAGAGTAAGAAAAAGACTATAATCTTATTTAAATAAAAACCTTGACGATCATCGAAAATAAATAATACTTCTTCGAAGACCAGATATATTTGATCATAACGAGAAACACATCTATGACTAAAGTTTAAATAGAAGTCGTCGTTTTATTGGCATTGCGGTTTGAAAAAATACGCAAATATCTTAACCGCAAATGTAATTTTCTATCTCCATCTCCCTTTCTCTCTATCTCGATCTTTGCTAACAAGATTTTTCGTTATTATTGGTTACACTCGGGACACGCATAACGCTTACATGTAAATCAAATAAATATAGATGTGTGTGTGTGTGGTTATATGTCTCACGGTTCATGACGAATCATTTAAAAATAAATTGGAGCGTATATTTGAGTACTTTGACTGATGATAAAGCGTTCTAGTTAACTAATATACTCTCTAATACTATTGTGTCATTTCTATTATAAAATTATTGGCTTAGTTCTAACCACCAGAGGAACCAAGAAAGCAAGCATAAAACCAACCAAGCAAATAAGTAAACGTATGAAAGAGAGAAAGAGAGAGAGAACGTCTACGTTTAAAATTACCAATGTATATATTTCTGGTTTGCAAGAGAGAAAGAGAAACTTAAGAGAAAAGTCACAGTTGTCTCTGCACTCTGACATTTCCAAGTTATATCTATACACACGCGAAACATATACAACGGGGTTTGAATTTACGATTCGTCTTGTGATTTATGTGATATAAAGGATGACCATTTGTACCACACCGGATATATTATATACTAAAAATATGTATTATTCGTATATCTTGAATCTTATTAGTGAAATAATGTTGCATGATGTATATATCTAGGACCAGTCAAAATTTCTGGTTTTTTTCTTTTTTGGAATATTATAATTTCATTTAAATGACTTTCTTTTTTAAATAATTATATTGACTTATATTATAATATATACGCTATTTGGTGTTATTCACGAATTAATGATTTTTCCTATGTTACTAATATTTATATTTTTTCATATAATTTCTTTTTAATAATAATCCCCGGACTTATAATATTTTTGTAGATTAAAACAATTGTGAACTATTATTTTCAATTCAGATAATTCAGTCATTTTTCCTATATCAATATATATATATATATTATTCTTCTGAATTTTAATTAGAGAACATTTAATTTTCTAAATATAATCGTCTAATTCTAAACTAGGTTATCAATAAAATCCGTATATTTTTATTACTGCATAACATTGATCATATTTGAATGGAAATCGTAGTAAATGTGTGTCTGGTATCTAGTATTTTGATTTATGCACTTTCCTATCTCATAGAAACTGTAGACTGATGAAAGAAAGAATGCTGTCTAGTCTTATCCGCGTTACTGTTGTTTACTTACAATGCTTACGTAGTACGCGAATCATGCGATAGAATAAGCATGTTTCACTCTCTCACTTTCTGTGGGAAAGGATGACGTGTCTGAAGGATAGCCGAGCTGTAGAGTAGCAATACTTGTTAATTCTTTATTTTGTTTCTTTTTTTTTTTTTTTCGTTCTTTAGTCTGCATCATTTGTATTGCAATGTGTGACATCATCATCATCATCATCATCGGTATCGACCTAACGTCGTGTGCCTAATGCAAAATAAAGTTTGCGGTTTTTGATCACGTCCGTTATATCTCTTTCGCACGTTTGTCACGCGTTAGTTTGTCTCTTTCTTTCTTTCTTTCTTTCTTTGTGATCAAAAGGAAAACGAATAAAAAAAAAAAAGAAAAAAAAAATTAACTAACGATGAGACAACTTGTCTCGTTGTTATTCGTTTTTTTTCCCGATTGTTTTACGGTTTTATATTAAATGCTGATAAGAAAAGAAAAATGATGATTTAAAATGTTTAATAAATACTGATACGATAAATTTAATAAATACGAAAACACGAAACAAAAATTATCGTCACGAATTCATCTAATTCTTATGTACTATCGAACAAATTGGTAGCACAACCACACCTTTATGTATATTCAATTCGTTTGGTTCCGTACAAAAAATGAGGTCATCTTGACCACCATTAAATAAATTCTCCAAAGTCCTTTCATTTGGTCATTTGATACAACAAAGAAGGTTTATTAAATTTTGAGAAGAATGTCGAAACTTTTTGATAATACTTTGGATAAGATTAATGGATAAGATGAAAGACGTTTTATGGTCGCAGAAAACGTTTGTTTCATTAGCTTTTTTCTACTTTACTTTTTTTTTTCTTTCTTTTGTTGAGAAAAGTAATCAATAATTAATCATGTATAATACACGTGTACACGTAAAGGGGAGAAAACAAAAAATAAAGGATAGAGAAAGAAAAATGTTGGCTTTTTCGGCAGATAGGAGAACATGTATCTTGAGTGAAATAATATATAGATGTTTAGGGGTGGAACTGAATTAAAGCTATGGGACACCATGACGCCTTCCATGCGGATAGATGGTAGTACGTTGCTAAGAGACTTGGGGTTGCTAACTAATTGAAAGCTGGCTTGCGTTATAGTAGAGTGCACACTGACCAAACCATTAGCCCAGATTCCATAGGCTTCTGTATATTATTTCATCAAATATTGCATACATCTATATGGTTATATGTTAATGTGTATGTGTGTGTATGTGTAGAAACGATATTTGAGATGATGTAAATAAAGTGGATATAAATGATTGCTTTTATACTTTAACGAATAGGTGTAATAATAATTTATTAAATAATAAATTGATCAATGTCCTTGTGATATACTTTTTAGAAATAAAGAAAAATATATCTGTTGGTTAATAATTTTAGAATTTTTAAAATTATTGAAATTAATTATTACCTTTATTCGCGGATATAAAATACTACCAAAGTTATTCCAATAAATCGAATATTCCACAGTAGTGTTTATTTCAAAAAGAAATATCAGTTTTATTTATTTCAAAATAGATTAATAAAAATTCCAACACTCTTGCTTGGATATTGACCAACCCAATGTACATATTCTTATAAGTATATAACTTAGAATTTAAATAATATTAGAGAGGTTTAACATTTTTCATTTATTATTATAGGTCATGCGAAACTGGCAAGAGAGTAGGTATGCATATGTAGTTAACTATGAATATTGGTATGCCTTAGCGATAAGAGGTTCGAAGTAATAGCGTTAACGTGTGGAGACTTAATGTCGTGGAATGACAAGTATATACATATATATATATAAATATGTAAATATATACATATATTACATATAAATACATATACATACGTGTATTATGTAAAACAAAAAGAAATAGTGGTAAAAGAGAAGAGAAAATCCAAATGGGGGTTAGGCCAGTAGTGCAAGCCATTTTCTTTTTTCTTTCATTTTCGAGGGTGTGGTTTAAGCCCGTGTATCAGAAAAGTCGAACAATCTACGGAGTAGCTAACTTTAGCAAAGAACCTAGTTAGAAACGGCGAACCTTAAAAAATGAGGTTATACCGAGCACAGACACGAACCTGTTGGGCGTGGAAGCTCTTATTTCATATCTTTGCTTGGTCATCTTTAAAAAGTCTTTCCTTTTTCATTTTCTTCCTTCTTTTTTATTTAGCTAATCACCTGGTAACATGTAGAACAATGGCGTCAAACTCATGCATATTAACGGGGGTCAACAGATCTAACGCTAAATAAAATATCAAGTAAAATGTTTTGACATTATTTCATTCGAGCTTAAAATCATTTCAATAATAATTCAATGGATTTCTGTTAGAAAAACGTATTATGTTACGCCAGCTGTGTATCTTCAGTTCCTTGCTGCAGCTTGCACTGATGTGAATTATTTTAATATATCATATTTATTTTCCTCAAAAAGTTTGATTAAATGTTAATAACATACGTCCCTTCTTCTATAAATTTAATTATTATTTCATTTATTATTAAAAAAAAAAAAAAAACCACTATCTCAAATTAGTATATATAAACCTTGTATTTAAGTTTACCGTCAAAACTTTCCGATCCATGGATAATAAATGATCTAAAAAAATGTTAACAGTCAAAAAAAGGAACGTAAAAGAACGTCACATCTAACACGAATGCTTGAAGTTTTTGGGTTGTGGATTGCAAGCTGTATGCTAGACACCGCTGAAATTAGATGGAAAACGTTGATGATGGATGGAAGAAGTAGGCAGCGCCATTGTTGAGGTGCAAGGGTTGCCTATGGTGCTCTTTTCTCTCTCTTTCTCTCTCTATCTATCTTTCTTTCTAGTCATCGTGTATTATTAGAATCTCTGATGTGCCTTTATATATATATACATACATACACACACACACACCCACACACAAATGCATATTTAAACGTAGATGCTGTCCTGAAAATCAGGCTACCGTTCGTGGACTAGAAATCTAATTTCAACTATAGTTCGTGTGCAGCCGGTTCCGGTGCGCGCTATTTGGTAAACGATCGTTCTTTCGTGCTTTCTGTATAATCAAATGTCTTCTAGTGTCGAGTTTGAAAACGGGTTAACGATATTATCGTTCACACTACTGAGAAACTCTTTGAATACTTTGAATTTTCTATTGTAACATTTTCATCTTCTGGTTCTGTTATTTCTTTTTTAATATTCTTGTATTACATCTGTTTCTATTATTATTATTATACTTATACTTATTATTCTTATTATTTTTATTTTAGGCTGGTGCAAACCGCCCAATGACGTCGACAATTTTGAGGATTACAACGACGACGCTCAAGCTGAAGAGAATGAAGATTATTCTCAAACTGATGACGAGGATGAGAGTCCGGACACTATCGAGGAACCACCGCAAATTATATCACAACCAATAAGCAAACATGTTAAAGTTGGTACCACCGTTACTCTACCATGTCTGACGGAAAATGCAGGTTTGTAAGAATAAAAAAAAAAAAGAAAAAATTGAAGAAAATGAAAATAAATCGATAAATGAATTATCATTCATATTTGTTCAGATTCTTTTGCGATTATTTGGAAAAAGGACGACCAATTTCTTTACTACGGATCTAATCCTATGACAAATGAACCTAAAAGAATAGAAAGAACAGCGAATAACAGTTTGGTGATACATAACGCTACGATAAACGACTCATCTAATAATTATATCTGCAGTATTACCAGCCGTATACCTATTACGATCACGCACAGATTAATCGTTGAACCTGCTAACGATAGATCACCATCTATGATGATGACAACAATAACGACGACATCAGTAACGACAACTACTCCACAAATGGTTCCTACGTCACCTTCAATACCATTTATACAAGTTGTACCTTCCAACAAAGTTGACGTTAAACAGGGTAACAATGTCAAATTTGCTTGTAACCCATTCCCCAGGGAACAATTTTCTCAAACGAAAATGAAATGGTATCTCAAGGTAATGTCATTTAATTAATTTTTATATTGTTTTTAAATATTAAATTTATTCAGAAGAATTGCATTGAATTTAAATTGTTAATTAAGGATGTTTGAAAGTAATCAGAAAAGTATTAATTACAAAATACATTCGTGTTTTCGGTTACTGAAAACTAAATACTCGTTTCGTTTATGACTCATACATATTCAAAAGTTGTGCGAATACGTCGGTGAATTATTTTTGAATGAATAGTACCGTTTATGGTACGTTAGATCTTAATGAATTAAAGATATAATAAGTTATACTTTTATTTATTTATGGATGTTATAATTAATTAATATTTATTAATAATTAAACTATTACAAGTCTATAGGGATATATTTTCACAAAGGTTTATTATATATTATCATACTTTTTTTCTGTTTCAGAATGTAAAATTACATAACGACAGTCATACGCTGATGCATGGAAATGAAATTACCATATTTAAAGCTGGAAGACACGATGCCGGAATGTATCAATGTTTGGCTGATAATGGAATGGAAAATCCACCTATTGCTGCCATTCATCTTATCGTTCATTGTTAGCGCAAAAATTTATAATTAAAAAATATATATATTTTTTTACAATTGGAATAAATTAATAAAATAAAACTTTTGTTTTTAAATGTAGACGCTCCGGAGATTGAAACGGAACATGATATTGTACACACGGGAGACGGCGTTGAGTCAGAAATCACGTGTATCGTTCACGCGCACCCACACGCGAACGTGACTTGGTATAAAAATCAGAAAGAATTACCAAAGAAAGGGAGGATCTCGCAAAAGGAAAATAAATCAAGATACACTCTTAGGATTATGCGTACGACTGAACAGGATTTCGGTGACTACACCTGCCAAGCTAAGAACAAGTTGGGCCAAGCAAGCAAGACAATTACTCTTACCGGTAATTTTCTGTTTAATTTTTTGAGGAAGAAAATTGTATCATCAATTTTGAATTACATCAATCATGCGAAGAATATCACGCATACAAAGATATTTAAGAATTAATTTGAAATTCTTCTTTTTCTTTTTATAGGAGCTCCATCCCAAGCAATCATTTTCGGAGCATCGTTAATGACGAATGACAACAATGATTTTGTTTTAAAATGGCGTCTCGAAAGCTACTCTCCTATTGCCCAATACAAAGTATGTTAAAAAAAAACAAAATAAACAGTATATATTTCTACGAAAAATATGTAAAATTTTGTAGTAATTGTTTCAAATTGACATTCTTTCATTTTCACCACTTTTTAAGTAACTTCAATGCGCGCATATTGTAATTTATATGATTCTTTGCTTATAAATAATATTGAGAAAGATATGCGTTTATGATAATTGTATTTGTATCATGTTTATAGCTGAAATATCGTCGCAAAGGGGACGAACAATGGCAAGAAATGGAACCTCGTGTCAAAGATGGCGACGGAAATCAATATATAGTAGAACATGTTATTGTTGGCCTTGATGCTGGAAATTATGAAGCGGTCCTCGAAGCAAGAAATTCATTTGGTTGGTCACTTCCATCTAAGCCTGTTACTTTCAAGAAAGGTTTGTACATTGATAGAAAATAATAAACGATTGTTGTATAATTAAACAAGAAAAAAGAACAGGAAGTAAAGTAAAATATTTTTTTTTTTTTATAGAAAACGTTGAGAAAATAGAAGCAGCAAGTGGTAAGTACAAATATTATTAATGTTATCTACAAATTTGGCAAATCAAATTCACTATTTTACAAATCAAGTTAATCTAAAAAGCTTCCGCGTTTAAATTGATTTTAAAATGTACTCGCAATTAAAATGTCTAATTAATCAAAATTATAATCTTCAAACTAAATGGTTGAGCAAATTCAAAATTTACACGAGTATACATCTACTTCATTCCAATTTAAAATGAAACATTTTATTTATTATATATATCTTTTATTTTTTTATTATTTATTAATTTAAGATATGTTCATTTATTATTTATTATTATTTGATTTTGTAAATTTCTTTTATAGTCGGTGGATCGGCAGTTTCGATCCGACCATTTTGGGCTATCCAAGTGTCACTCCTAGTCGTTTGTGCCTTCAGAAAACTGTAATTAACGAAACTGTTTTAACTACGTAGGTAAGTAAGAACAAATAAATTCAAATCTAATTATCTTATTTAAAATACAAAAACATCGTATAATTTGATCGATTTCATTAAAAAAAAAAAAAAAGAAAGAAAGGAAAACATAATTTTTAAATAATTAAATCATTTAAATTGCATAGGTAATTTACTGCAGCCAAAGCTACACCAGAAAACGTCGTGGTGCGATTAATAATGTAAGGGATGCCTTGGGAGAAGCTTCATTATTCAAATACGCTTCCTGAAACATCCGTTGTCTTCGTCGAACACTCTACGTAGAAAAAAAAGAAAACAAAAACAAAACAAGCCAGTATTTGCATTGATTTAAAATGAATGAGAAATATCATCGGAATGAACAATTTCTTACCAGCGATTTTTCGAGTGTTGTATAAATTATTTTAACATTAAAATAAAAACAAAAATGTAAAAAGCAAAATGGCAACGGAAGAAACATAACAATTCTCCCAGGCACAAATCGTTAATTTGTTTTAACGATGGAAAAGCATTTTTATTTTACTCCGTTAAATCACGAGTAAATATTAAGAGTTTCTATACTTTAAAATATATTTATATATCTATATCTATATTTATATACATATATGTATATAATATATATATATGTATATACGTATGCATGTAGATATTATATAATAAATATAGTATTCACTGTATATGTGTAAGCCCAGAGATACACAATCATTATTATAATTTATTTTTGTATGCTTAAGATTATCAGAATATATCAGTGTTTATTAATGAGTGTTGCTGCTTCGTGCCATGCGTATACAGGTATAATAAGATCCTGTATTTTGTAAACTTGTAAAGAAGAAGCGGCACTAATTAATTACTTTGCCTATGGCAAGAATGAAGATAGAACGGGGCATGTACCTAATATATCATAGTATAACAAAAACAAAATAAACATACTGTATCACCGACAGACGGGATTAGAAAAATTTTCAAAAAATTAACAAACCAATCATAAAGATCGCCAGAAGACTTCGTTTAAATGGCCAATTATTATCTCTCTCCATGCATTAATATTATTAATATTATTATTATTATTATTATTATTATTATTATTATTATTATTATTATTATTATTATCATCATTATCGAATAATTATTTTCGATAAAAAGAAAGAAAATTTATTATTTTCATTCTTATCTTAAATGTGTATATTGCTATGTGTGAGTTAATTAAGTATGTTTCTGAAGGATGCAAGAATGTGATCGTGTTGTGCTAGAATTATTTTCCATATTAGGTTTGCTAGTAGCGATATATCAATTTAGTTTTTTTTTTCTCACTTTCTGATTAGCAAATATAAACGAATTGAAAACCTTTCGTAAATTAAAAATTTAAAAAAAATTAATAAAATGAGAAAATATTATTCACTTTAATGCTTAGCAGATACAAACTTTTAATCTATTCTTTTCAATTTCATCTATCTCAAATATCTCGTAAATGCCTATACATATGTATATTAGACCATTAAGTATGAAATGTTTAATTTTAAACTAAAAATATTCGGAGCAATCGGACGTTTCATATTTATTGATCTAATAAATATTAATACGTATATATATGTTAAAGTATGCGACACGATTCTTTCCCTTATAGTTAACTGTAATTAATTTTTTGTAAAAATGGAAAAAAATTTTACTTAAAATCGAATATTTAAAGAAGCAAATTTTGTCAAAACAAAATAAAATGTAATAATATGTAGACTGGTTAATTAGTTGAAAAATTTGCAATATCTTAATTATAATAATAACAGTTATACTATAAGCAACATAAAAGTTTCGCGCAGTACTTATTCTATCATATCGAACGTAGCACGTAACATTGAATGCGTATTAATTTCTTTGAAAATCTCTAAATAAATCACAATTTTCGGATTCAAAATTGATGCATACAAACACTATTTATCTTTCAGAAGAATAAAATATGAAACAGATCATGTAATATATTGAAATTTTTGTACATATTAAAAAGTGGTGCTACTTATAATTTTTCCGTGTAATTTCGCAGTACTATTGAATATCAATAAAGTTGACAACAATTGTTATATTTTACGGGATTTTCTAACGTCTAACGAATAAAAAAAGTGTCAGAGAGAGAGAGAGAGAGAGAGAGAGAGAGAGAGA